GCTCCCTTCTCTTTAAGCATGTTTTCTAACAATTAGAAATTTTTCTCATTAGAAAACAAGTGTTCTCACTAGTTTCTGTGTGCTTTATCTCCTAACTTGTCAACCTCTCCCCAATGCATCTATGAGGGTTTACTTGATCTGGTAAAAGTTACTTAGTCCAACCTCCACCCAGCCCTGACAGACTTGAAGGAAATTATCGCTATATTTGAAAGTAACTACAAATTCAGATGACGGTTTAAATAAGTCTCTAATTTAAAATGGACTCATAACATTAAGGCATGTTCTTATGGTAATAAAATCAATTACAGCTCATGATGATGTAATTAAACAAGAAGAGTCTAATTTCAAACTAAAAATGTGGATTAGTGGTCAAAGATTATACAATTTAATTTTAGTTTATGCTGGCTCAGTAACTCTATGATCATAACAAAATCACAGCTCATGATGATGTAATTAAACAAGAAGAGTTCAATTTCAAACTAAAAATGTGGACTAATGATCAAAGACTATGCAATTCAATTTTAGTTTAAGCTGGCTCAGTAACTTTATGATCATAACAAAAATCAATTTCGGCAGCAATAAATGTAGCAAAGACAAATAATTAAAAGTTATCAGAGCTGGTAGGAACTAATGCAGTGAGCAAGTAAGTGGAGGTCGTCTTACACTCCGAAAACCTCAGTTTAAAAGCTGTCTATTTGCATTCTGGTGAGAAAACAGAAATGGGAAATTATATTAAAGGCTGAAATCATACACAACTGGGTAATTTACATAAATAATTACATTTTCTTTTTCCAACTAATTTCTTTTCATTTTAGAATTTTTGGATTTGATTAAAGATTTCTGCTATTCTAGAAAACTAAATGCATTTAGAATGTATAGAAAAAGTTGCTAATTTTATTTCTTTAGTAACATGAACATGCACAAGAAATATGAAATATATATGGTATGGGTCGGTTACAGAGCTGTTGTGGCAGAATTTTTCAGTAACAAAATCTAGAAATGGCAAAACTTTTAGAATTTAGATTAGGCATTGGAAGCAGAATTTAGAATCCACAGAGATTGCATCAGGTGGGAAAATGCCTAGTTCTAGCCATGTGCATGATGCATTAAGATATATTTGAAGAATCTTTTAAAATGCCAGTTTTCAATTTATTTAATAATAAAAAAAAATCCTTTTATATAATGTCTGTCCTTGTGATAAGATTAGAAGCATATTTCATATTTTCCATGCTTATGTATAGTGAAAATTAGACAAAATAAAGGGAAGATAAACATGTTACGAAAGAAATAAATGGCTTACATAAATGCATCCACAACTTTTCGACATTTTACAGATGAAGTCGCATGAAATTTAGAGGATGTTTATTCTTTCATCGATGATCTACTCATATCTTTCAAAGATCCTGAAGAAAATAAGGCAGTTGAAAGCCTTAATTTTAAAATTTAGGTACAAGGACTTTGTATAAATGTCGCAAAATGCACCTTTGGTCAAACATCTACTGATTTTTTGGTTTTTCACTTTAGTGAAAGAAGAATGGAACCTCTCTTTGATAAAATCGAATGTAATTCAGACTTCCCTCAACTAATCCTCCTTACACAGCTTCACCAACTTCTAGGCATATTTAACTTTTAATAGATGTTTCATACCTAAAGCAGTAGACATTCTTTCTACTTTAATAAAACTGCCAAAAGGTGTTGGTGTGTTTGATTATATAGCAAAGCTTTCGAGGTCTATCTGCTTAAGGGAAAGGATGTTTTCATGGAGGACTTTTATAGAGAAACTGGCTTGTATATACATTACACATAGGAAAAAACATGAAAATGCCAATGCAGCCAGCCCATTCATAGGATTTGAATCTTGGACCGAATTTAATAGTGTCTAGCGACTTTACTACTCGACCACTGGTGGGCCTCAGAATTGCTAGAAGGACATATCAATAAAAAGAAATCTTGTTCTCATTTTCAGGATTCATTCCTCACAGTTAAATTGGAATGAAAATGCTGAGCAAGGCTTTATTGCTGCCAAAATTGGCATTGCTCTGGCTATATACATCCTATTACCTGAGTCCAGTTAAGCATATGGGTAAATGATTCAGACATCGCAATACGTGGCACTTTTATGCAGTTGCCTCAAGAAACATGGGAAGGTAAGGCATTTTTATCTATGAAACTCAATACAAGTCAACAGAAATGGTCCACATTTGATAAGTTATTCTGGAATTAAGAAATTCTAAACCATGTTTGAGGGCATGAATTTTCAAATTTATATGGATCAAAAACCATTAATATACGCTTTTAAGCAGAACCCTCACAAATGTTCAGCTTAGCAATAACACCATGTCATTATTACCCTAATTATTTCAGATTTATTAATATTAGAAAATAAACACTAAATACATTTAGAGTTTATTTTCCAGTATCCTAATAATACCACAGGCATAAGCATGGTTCTTAAAGTGTCATTTCTGATGCTCTTTCAAGAATTGATTCCATAACAAAATCTCAATTTTTGAATTTTGACAAATCTTCTAAAGATCAGCAGCATGATCCAGAGGTACAAAACCTTTTCGAAAACAATTCTTCAGTTTTCAAGCTGGAATTCAGACCAATATTCTTTATGACCTCTCTACAGTCATTCCTCGTCCTTTTATTCTAAATTCCTTCCTCAGACATCATCCTACTAATCTATCACATCCAGAAATAGCAGCTACAATAAAACTCATTGGTTCTCATTACATATGGCCCATTATGAAGCATCATATTATTGGCCAGTTATTGCCATCAAAAGGTAACATGAACCCCTTGACTCTTTAACAGATTTATTTTCCAGATGGCCTGAAGCCACTCCTATCCCCAATATGAAAATGGAGAGCTTTTTTCAACACATGGATATCTCATTTTAGCTGCATATGACAACAGACCAAGGTTCTCAGATGAGATCTGTAATGGCTGCAAAGTTTACACGCATTCAGAATACAAACAGAATTACAATGGCAGCCTATCATCCAATGTCAAATGGCACTGCTGAATGCTTTAAATGACATTTAAAATTCCTTTTTGAGGGTCCCACGACTAATAAGTGGACCGAAATATTCCAGTTGTTCTACTTGGTACTGGGAGAGCCATCAAGGAGGATTTGTAGAGATCTTGCATGGGACTGGTGTATGGCATAACTGTCAGGCTGCCTAGTAATATGACAATGACATCTAAGATACCTGCATATGATGGCACTCAATTCATCACTAGTCTCCACCACAGAATGCAACAACTAAACCCAACAGTGACATCTGCACACTGTCAAGATACATATTATGCAAGTTCTGTTTTGAAATCGTGTACACATGTATACTTATTATCGACCAAGTAAACTACTGTTGTGTTTTAGGGCTTTTATATCCATTGCATCTATAGACTATGTAAAACCAGCCTATTTGCCTTCAGCAATATCTGTTCAGCAAACCAAATAAACAAATTTGCTACCGTACTGTTTAGGACACAAACTGTCATGAGATCAGGCAGACTTTTACATTTCTCAAAGAAACGTACTTCTTACATTACAATTTAGAAATTTTTAATTTGTGAGATATTTATTGTTCTTTTATTTTTATGTATGTGCATTATAACCTTGTCATATGTTGAATCACATTTGATCTCTTCTAATTTTACAGCTTAATTCTGTTACTCAGAGAGAGGAAACCGTGATAGTATGGATCCTCTAAAATATTTGATGCTATGACATCATTCTTTTGAGTTGCCATCAGAGGAACTGCGGGAAACTGTGGTGATAGCGATAAGGAGTGCAGCCTGTGCCCGCATTGCTACCAATAAATATAGCAACCTTAAGGATAAGATTTTATAGTAGTGCAGAGAAAACAGAGAACATCTGTCGAGTAGCATATGTTTGAAGTCTTGAAATAAAGAACAATTTTTAATGTATATTAAATTATTTAATGTATATATCTCATTAAAGTTCTTGATGAATGCGGTGAAAATATTTAATGTGGCATGGACAATGACGATCAAAACCATTCCGTATGCTCTCTAAAGAGAAATTCCAAAGCACTTGTGACATAAACTATGTGGATATTAAATTACATTGAGTTAAAATCCTATAAAGCAGGATAGATTTTCCAACAGGTAGAATATTTGGTCCTAAAACTAAATTATAAATATTATTCATAACAGATAAAACTGCTTAAAGTTAATCTATGGAGAATCATACCTTTTTAATAATTAAGAGAAGAGAGGTGATGACCAAAGGACTGTTGTATTGGAAAAATTTACTTCATTCAGGGAAATGCAGAAAATGTTTTAAAAGCTTTATCAATAGTAACAGTTATCAAATAACTGGGTTCCTGAATATATCCAAGCTAAAATATAAGTATTAATGGCATATATTAAAAAAATGGGGAAAAAAGGATAATTTTTATTTCGCAGTCACTACAGCAATAACAATTGATGCCCTTCTTATCATCCAGTGATCCACAATGTAACAAAAGTGGAAAGAATAATTATTTCCAGTATTGTTGCTTTAATAACCATTTTGCAAAAAGGTTCAGCATCCATGGTTTTTCCAAATTGTATATTTCATTCCTTTAGGAACTAAAAACAAAACTTAATCCTTCAGGAATGAATAACATACCTTGGATCATGCACCACACAACTGCACATGATTTGATAGACACATCTCATTACTCAAAGGAAAAAATAATATACATACCACTGATAATTACTCCCTTTTTCGTATTTTACTAAATCCCCCCCGGAAAAAGCTTCTATACACAAGTTAGATTTGATTGATGTATTTCACATTTAATATGTCAAATCAATAGAGCTCAGCTGATTTTAATTTACTCCTCATATTCAAAAATTTTTACACAATTTGCTTCAGGAGAAGATAACAGGTCCTTAATCTAGAAGATCTTAAAACTCTCAAGGGGGGTCGTATATCTTTTTATTCTTTAACTTTTCAAGGATATGATAAAATCATTAATTGTGACCTTTTTCCAGTAGAAGCATAACGGACATAAAGTTGATCTGTCTCAGGAACAACTTTTTGAATAAAAACTTGTTCATCATCTTGCTCTCCATATGGTCCTAAAAATTAAAAGAATAGTATAAATATAAATGCCAATTCTTGCAACAAATCATTGTAATAAGTTGCCTTGGCAAATTTCAGTCAGGTTATAAAAACTAAGCATGTATTTCATCAAAACATGAATTAAAGGCTGCAGTTCATTGAGTGCTTAAAAAATTATTCTAAATACCTAGCATAGTAATTTGAAGTATGGTTTTTCATTACAAAGGGCATGAAATGACTTTATAATGCAGTTTTCACATCTAGCAGAAACTTTTGTGAGAACTGAGCTTCTCCTCTCACCATTAGGATGGTTCTTAGTCAAAACAGAAACTAATGTCCTGGTTGGCTGCACAGCACATTTTGCAATCGAGATGAAAATGTTTTGCTCGAAGCTTTTTCCTCACAGGCTTTCCCTAAAGAAATGGTTTTTCATGTACGTCTACATCGTACGTACATATCCTGAAAGTCATAAGCGATTGAAAGCGATTACATAGTAAATTTTTTGTTCTACGAGTGATGCGAAAGGACTGTCTCTATGAACACTGAGTCAGTTTAACATATCTCCTAGAGAGTCAGGTGTCGTCCAATACGGTAAGGGCAATTGTCAGCTGGTGATCTTTTTGCTATACGCTTTCCAGTTGAGCTTTACTTTGTCGTGGTCTCGGGGATCCCTCTTAACCCATTAACCGCCAAAACTACAAAGAATGTTTCTTTTCTCATGAAAATAATAACAAGTATTAAATTAAGCATTTATAACATAAATTTAGATTGAAAATAAAAAAAATGCTCTTACCTGTGGAAAAACCGAGTGTTGCGTTCGCGCAACGTCAGCGGAATAAGACTACGGATGTTTAGTGAGTAGGACTGTACTCGTGTGATTTTTTTTTTTTTTTGAGTGGAGCGCAGGATTACTTTTTAGCTGTGTAACGTTTTATAAATCTACAAATCACTTACTTGTAATTAATTTAATATTAAAATATACATTGTATTTCTTTTACAAATACAGATTATTTCAACTGAAAGATTTAAGCATGAAAAGCTTGATTACAATCATGATGTAAAGCTACATTACATACTTTGCATCTATAAACACTCTGGCTATTGTACTCTTTACAACAAAGTCTTTTGTTATCAACGGACTTTACGATAAAATGTCTACCATCTCCATGCAATGGTTTTTGAATGCTGAATTTACTAGGTCTTCCTGTTGCTGATCTATTTCTGGCTAATTCTACACTCCCAATAGGAGTTTTCAAAAGGAAGAATGCATTCTCGCGTCTGAAATCTAAAAGAGACTTTATATTTCCAGTAGTAAAAAGTGGTGATATTTAGTAAATTTAGATACGGTCTCACCTCATATAATTTATTAGTATTGTCAATTTGACTATTGCCAAATGCAAGTTCTGCTTCATATTCCTGTACTGCAAATGTGATATCGATTCTCATACAATAGGAACAGAAATGTCCTTATCAAAAGACCAATACATTTTATCTTGAGGTAAAGAATGATATCCTGTAAGCAATAATATTCCAATAAATCTTCTCATATAGGCTTCAAATGCAATATATTCTGGTTTCCCCCCCCTGTGCGTATATATTTGTCTGTTCAATGAGAAGAGAGTAAATTTCTAAACCAAAAAGAAAATCAAAAATCTTTGCACTAGTTTTACCTTGTATTTTGTCTTTTATAATTTCTCTTCTATCTCTTTTTTCATGTTTTTCCTGAGACATAACTAACAGTTCCCTTTCTATCCACTTCAAGATTTCAGTCTTCTGCTTTTTAAACTTTTTAGTATGACTATAACTGCTTTTAGAAGGCTGAAACTTACTTCTTACGTGAATTTCAACTTCCCCAGCAGTATAATTTGGTAAAATATCATTATCATTATTTAAAACATTGCCATTCCTTTCTTCTTCGTCACTAGTTTCTGCAATTTCTGGGGGAACAACAACAATATCAGTTTCATTCTGGTTATTATTAACATTATCATTATCTGTTTCTTCATCAAAAAATCTTTGAAGAGCTTCTTCTAATGTAAGACACCTCGTTCTAGGCATTTTTAAACAACCAGAACATCGAAAGGAATGAGTGAAAAAGGAGATTGAGTACCCATTTCCTGCTGACATTGCGTCAGCGCAACACCTGTTTTCCCTTCCTTCCCAACACAAATATAAACATTTCACTGATGTAATGTTCTGATAAACGGTGACCTTGACTAAAAATAGATCATTAATAAAGACGGCGATTCTTTCGTTAAATATTTTGAACAAAAATACCCGGTCAAAAATTTTGCTTAAAGTATGAGATTAATTATTATAAACAAAATTATTGTTGAAGACAAATATTTTTTTACAGAAATAATCTTCATCATATTCCCTACACAAAATCATCTGCTGGTATAAAATATCTTAGGTAGTTAGGTTTATATTCGCATTTATTTTGACCGTTGCGTAAACGCAACACCAGCGGCTAATGGGTTAAGAGGAAGGCGGTCAAAATTTGCTAGCTAAGTAGTAAGTTCGGTGAGAACCCCAGGGTACCAGCTTATGAAAGGACACCCACGGTGCTTCTTGCTCTCCTAACGGAGCATGTGGTGGTTTCCTGAATAGAACATATCCTATATGGCAAAGTGTGCAGTACAAGCACAATGTGCTATGTCTTCGATGTCAGATGAGTTAAACTGGCCAGAAGACACTGGGAGCAAAACATACCCAGCAAAGACACAAAAACAGGATAGGTGCATACAACAGTGTAAGGACATAGAGTCCATAGAATTCTCGCAAAATTCAGCAGAATGCTTAGACGATATACAAGGTAACCAAAAAAGTTCCTGCTGTTTCTGATACGACATTGGACGAGTAAACCTCAACATAAAAATAGTCACCAAACCTGACGATGAAGTGTTTAGAACGGGAGTCCGGACATTAACCAAGAGTATAAAAGCGTGTTGCATCGGTACTTCAAACATAACTCACACAGCAACTGATTGAAATGGACGCGTCAAAGGCAGTCGTTCGGAGTTGTTTGCTGTATGATTTTAAATTGGGCCTGCCAGCAGCAGAATCAAATCACCACATTTGCCAGGTCTTCGGGGATGATACCATTAATGAACAATCTGCCAGGCAATAGTTCCAGAAGTTCAGGTCAGGGGATATGTCTCTTAGTGCTGCACTATGCAGCAGTCAGCTATAAGCGCTGGATGATGAGGCCATGAGAGCAGCCATAGAGAGTGACAATAGCCCACACATGTGGTGAGCTTGCTGCACATTTCGAGGTATCAGATGAAATAATCAGAGTCCATTTGCATCGCACAGGAAAGGCATACAAGCTGAGCAAGGGGGTACCCCACTCACTGTCCAATGCAAACAAGCAACAGCGTGTTGCTGGCTGTTTGTCATTACCTACTCGGCACAGCAATGCATCCATATTTGATTGAGTACTCACCAGTGATGAAAGGTGGGTCCAGTATGACACACCCAGACATTCCAGACATTGGTTGTCACCACGGGACCCTTTACCTCACACTTCGAAGCCACGCAAGATCATGCTCTGTGTCTGGTGGACTAGTTGTCACATGGTGCACTATGAGCTCCTCCCAGTGGACCAAACCATCATGGAATGCCTGTACTCGCAGCAATTGGAAAGTGTGCATGAGGCATTGATGCATAAAGAGCCCGCATTGGTCAGTCATAAGGTTGTACTCTTCCTATGACAATGAAAAGCTGCATGTGGCTCAGGAGGCCAGGGATACCATCCAGCGACTGGTTTGGGAGACACTACACTATCCATCATACCTCCCGGGCCTCGCACCAACAGTATACCACTTTTTTCATTCCCTGGACAACCACTTTCATGGGAAATCCTTCAACAACCAGCCAGACCTTGAAAACGCCCATCACGGACTTCTTTGTGTCCAAGACTTCTCTGTTTTACCGCAATGGCATCGCACAACTGGCCATTCGCTGGCAAAAGCACTGGATGCCAATGGTGATTACTTTGAGGATTAGCAGTGATTATTATTTGTTTTATGACTTTTCATTCTGACTATCCAAAACAGCAAGAACTTTTTTGGTTACCTTGTAGAAGAAATTCTCTCTTAATACAATCTCTTAATTGACACTTAATAAAACTTTTTATAGAAAGGTTAAAATGTGTTTCAACAGATTGTGACCATGCAAAATCTTAAAATAGCTAAATTGCAAGGACAAATTCAACAAATACAGAATGCTGAGGTCTATTTCCAAGGTGTTTTAAAGCTGCCACTCAAAGAACGCATAGATTGTGGAGCAGATCGGGAAAAAGGGACAATGGACCAAGAGAAACAGATCATGTCTTACTGATATACCCAAAAAGATGAGGGTGCAACTTCAGATGATGTAAAAGATAAGATACAAAATTAAACCAATGAACGGCAAGATGGAATAGATTTACATCACTAATGCATATAACTGCTTGTTTATTTCTGTTGATTCTGATATTTGCAAATAGGAAGTCTGAAAAATAGTTTGTTTATGGTATGACAGAAGAGCTAACTATAAAATGATTTTTCCACACTCAAGACGTTTCATAAATATTGGGGCACAAGGATCAGCCAGCTTAGAATATAGTTTAGACATAAGGATAGTTTATGTGTATGTGGAAGCCATTTTTAATTATTTTATCCATATTAATTTTGTCTAACTTAAATGCATGGTGTTGGCACCAGATTGCTGCAGTGGTGCATACCTTTTCCTTTCTCCAATGTTGCCTAGTAACGAATCTTGTAATGTGCTTATGCAAGCATAGCTTTCTCTTTTTCTTCATGGTTTTGTACATTTTTTCTTGCACTTCATCTTGAATGATTGCTAACTGAGCAATTAGATTATAAAACTAAAATATTTTTTATTTATTTCTTAGTTAATTTCATTATTTCACAGTTAAGTCCCCATAATACATAGTAATACATTTATATGTGTCTAAATTATGCAATTTATTTTACAGGTACTTAGGTCTAACTGACACTTAACATGGGAAGTTAAGAATCAAACAACAGACACTGAACTCCAATCCAGCAATAGTTACTGAATTATACTCATATCATCTATTTTGCAAAGGAAGGTGGGAACTTTTGAGATTCCTTGATGAAAGGAATAGCCTAATCTGATCAAAAGGGAGTGAATTTTTCAAATTTTTAATTTAAAAAATAAAACTATTTAATTCTGAAACAATCTAGGAAAACCTTAATGAATCACTTATTGAATAACACTGAAAGAGAAGATATCGGTTTATATCATAAATGAATTTTACATAATGTTGTCCATTAAAACTTAACCAAGTGTCTTTTTCTCAAAAAGCTACCACATGATTAAAAGTTAAAAAAATCTATTCTCTAAACTGAAGGGTCAACTACAGTCAATATATATTGATTCAGTTCCTTTAAGTTTTTCCTTTTATCTACTGTACAGTCTTAAAACATCCTAAATTTTTAAGAGTAGTAGTAATTCAATTTTATTTTGCATGTTGAAAATAATTTTATGTATTCTGGGTGCAGCAATTCCCTCAAAAAAAAAAAAAAAAAAAAAAAAAAAAAAAAAACTTCATTTTTTTTTAAACACAGCATATTCTTTATTAAACTGATATCATATGGCTTTTCTTTCAGCTGTAATGTGCCACAGATTTTCTTTTCATAACTGCCCAAGTTTTGTTGCTTTGGCTATTTAAAAGCAAAGTCTTGGATTTGGTTTATGATTTGATAACTGTACATATCTTGCACGGATTTTTGTAAATTTCACTGCTTCTTGATTCAAACATGATTTTATAAAATTTGCTGCTCCTCCTTTCAGTTATTTTATTTTACCTCTATTAATTGTGAGCATTCTTCATATATTTGTATGCAGAAATGAATAATTATTCAATTATTTTCCAATCCTCAGCTTTGCTAGCAAGAGCAAGCAAAAAAATTAATTGCTTTGAAGGAGAGAATGGCTTCCTGGTCACTGGGAATAAAATGATTGTTTCTTGAAATAAATTGTTACAACAATTGCCCTTCGATGGTTTTAATCTGTATCTGAATAGCCCCACCAGCTTATTAATGGACGAAAGTGATCACGACATCTGAAGATGTAAATACAAATTTTACATTTTACACAGTTAAACAGCAGTGCAAATAAAAAAAAAAATCATTGAACAATACTTAAATTGTTGACACACTATTAATAGAATAATGACAAGAGCAAAGATTTTGGTAAGGCATGCATACCTGCTCATTAGAAGCTCTATGTTAATTTGAAAGAAAATATTTTGCTATCAAAAACATGAAACCTTGTATTTTAATAGTACATACTATTAATGGTTGTAATATAATCATTAAAAGTAATTATCATACACACAATATATTTTCTAATTTAATCTGCAGCAAGGCAAGACAATTACCTCACTTTAATATGATACACTTAAAAGTTATAATAGTTCATTAATGTTTAGATTCTTATGATAAAAGCACAAAGTGTCAACCTTTGCTTTATACATGCTTAATGCATGTTAATGTTATTCATCGGAAAATATATTTAATTAAAATTTAAGAAACAAAATCACTTACCACTATCATTTCCAGCTGAGTAACTAATATTTGGTTCTATATCTTCTAAAGAGATTACTTTAAAGGAAGCTAGAGGCGTGGAACCAGGCTGTGTAGAAATCATTCCACGAAATCTTGTCACACTCCATGTTCTTGCATGGTTATATTCAGAGCACACTAATTCACACACATATACACATATATTATCATCATCACTATATAGATGTCAGATATAAAAATATGACAATTTATTATCAAGTTAAACTTAATTGGAACAAATTAACAATAAACCTGTAAATTACTAATTTTCAATTAAAGTACCTACCCTTCAAGGTATCCACATTTTCCCTGCAGTAACCGCAATGTGATAACTCTTGCTCAATTGCTGTGCAGGTTTACATATTATTGCTTTGAGATTATAAATACTATATAGGCACTCTTTTTTTTTTTTTTTAACTTGCTAGCTAAATAACATCTCTTGCTTATCTGCTTCTATTCATTATCAAAAATTTATATGTTGAAATTATAATTGTAAGGTGCAGACTGCCCTCATTTGTGCTGTGCCATGCCAAAGAGTAATCAACAAGTAAAAGAGATATGTTTATAGATAGATTATCAAGAGATTTTGAAATTCTTCAAATCACTCAATAATCCAAACAACATAATAACAAAGTTAACATTAAGTGAACATAATTCAGATATTGGCATCTTCTATGTAATTGAAATTTCAGTGCTCTTTCTTCATTGCACATGTGACTTCAAAATAGATGGTGAATTCCCTATTCAAGCACTCATCAAATATTAATTTATCATCTCACAAACACACACACACACACACACAAAAGACTAGCTACAAGATTGAAATTAAATTCTCAGAAGTAATACAGAAAATCAAATAAAAAAGATAAATCAGGATGTTAAAAACAGAGCCCTTAAACACTTACTGCAGAATTATGTGCAGGAAGTCTGCTACACCTCAACTTTCTTCTGGCCATGGTTTCAGTTCAAGTTTAGGACCCTTTTTTGAAGCATGAAGAGAGGGAAAGAAATGCCATTTTGAATAGCTGGTGCACAGATATGTACTCAATATTAAGACTAATATTGTAACTTGTTATTAATGTTATGTTTAATATATTTAGTGTTTCACTAAGATGTGGCCTCTTCATTTCTGGATTACTTGTTTGATTTTGCAGTTCAATGTACGTGTAGAGCAGTCATCCCGGGAAGAAAAAATAGGCTCAGTATTAATATTTCTGTTGAAGTATGATGAAATAAAAAGTTAATAAATAATTTTTTTTAACATGGCATCCCTGCTGGGATGGTGATCTGCATTTTGTGTCATATGATATGATTTACTTGAAATATATTTGAATACCATATACACATTAAATTTTGAATTAGGCATATAAACACAAAGTAAAATGGCCCATTGAACTATTAATACAGTGCATACAAAAACATTTAACATTAAGGGTGGCAGTTACTAAACTTTGTTCAAAGCTGAAACTGCAAAAACAGAAGTAACTGTCACAGACAGTGAAATTGAGCTTTATTTAGAACCATTAATTGACAACTTTCAAAGTCTTAAAATAGTAGACTTTGAAACAGAAAAGCTAGTAGATCCCAAAGATCTTGATAAAGAACTTAGATCCAACGAAGAATACCGAGAAAATATCCTAACTTGGAGATTCAGGACAAACAAATAGCTAAATGTTTCAATAGAAAGAATAATTCTTTCGACTCTACCAATTCGTCACTTAATTTGGATGCAAATACTCAGCAAACGCTTAATGTGAAGTTACCTAAAACAACAATTCCAAAATATTACAGAAAGATAAGTGACTGGCTTACATTCTGGAACTTGAAGCACAATAACAAATCAGTTGACGTTGTTAGCAAATTCAATTATTTAAAAGCTTATTTAGCCAAAACTGTTCTGGAAACTAGCAGTTTTTCTATTTCAAGCGAAAATTATAAAAAAACTGTTTCTTTGCTTGAACAAAGATTCAGAAAAAAAAAAGCAGTTTTGGTACCCACATGAACCAATTACTAGAAATAGCCACAAACAAATGTTCCAATGATATAGCAAATTTTTATAAATTGATAATATTCAAATTAATATTAGAAACTTTGAGTCATTAGGCATATTGTCTACGATTTTTAGCACATTATTATCACCTATAATCTTAAAACACTACTTACACACACTTAACAACAATAAATCCAAGTGTAACGCTACTTAAACAACAATAAATCCAAGTGTTTTATTATTCCAATTTAATACAGAATTAGAAGATGAGTAATGATCTGATTGGCTTTTTGCACAAACAATTAATAGATAAATAACTAAGCAGTTGCACTTTCATAATTTGGCAATGCATTCGCATCCAAATGCATTTAATTCCAGACCAACTGATGCATAATCAGAAAAAAAAACACATCCCGTGAGCATAATGGCAGACCACATATTGCGTTGATCAATGTTAAACAAATGTCACTTACTGTATATGCCCAGAAGAAAATCTGGCACAATTATTACATTGGCATGATTTAAAAAGAAGATAAATACAATTTAAGGTAGATGTACTGCCATTTGAGTGTAAGCAATTGCGGCATTTAAATCTCTGTAGAATATATGACACATACAGTAATTGCTGTGTTAAAATCCGTTTTCCTCCAAGAAATATAACATTGTTTCTGTTTCAACAACTAAAATGTTCACTGTGTATTCATGATACCATCAAACACGAATTCGACTGAAGAGTTTAAAAAAAAAAAAAAAAAAAAAAATTCGGTAAAGGAAGTCAGCATAAATACAGATGACCAGTGGATTGCGCAGAGCCCTAAAAAAAATGCTACAGCAAGACTGCTTTTAGGTATGTATATATATATATATATTTATATTTCAGTAAATTTGATATTGTATAAGCATGTTTATGTTTCTATGTCAAAGTATCAACCTACTTATATGAACATACATACATATAAAACACACATACACAACTTACATTGTAATTAAATTTTTAATATCTTTCTAAATTTGTACATAATGTAAAATTATTTTTAAAGGATTTGTTTCTTTACTGTTCTAATTTTTTCGAAAAGGACCATGCCATTTTCAAAAAGCTTTAAGAAGAAAACTATAAATATTTACACCTTAATTACGCAACAGATAACAGTAAAAGATAAGACTCGTAGTAAAAGATAAGTTATTCTTTTAACAACTTATCTTTTACTACACAGTTTATAGTAGCAAAAGATAAGTTGTTGAAAGAATGCACTAAAGATGCATATACACATTGAAATTAGCAGATAATCATTCTTAACAATAAGTTAAATAGTAAAATTTTAATTTAATAAAAATAAACCCCCCTTTTTTATTTCTTATAAATTCTTTCTGTTATGTGGTTTTACAGCCACTAGCTCTCCCTTATTGTTAACTAATTCATTCAGCACTGAACAGTATATTATTTTATTGCTATACAAAATAATAAAATATTTTGTGTGTATAACCAAGTTATGATCTAAGGCTTTTCAATGCTTGAATCATTCTTTTAAATATTTTTATAAAATGGTTTTAATTTCAGGCAGTGGCACACTGAATAACAGTTGAAAAATGTTGGCCGTTGTTCTGAAAGTGAAATGTCAGATGTAAGTAATGATGTCGTTATTCATGTGAAAAGGTTTCTGGCATGATTATAGATGCGTGACAGGAATTAACAAGCTTTGAGCATGAAATGGTAGTTAGTGCTAGATTCGTGGAACATTCCATTTCAGAAATCATTAGCAAATTCAACATTCCAACGTCCACAGTGGCAAGAGTGTGCCGTGAATACCTAATTTCAGAGATAACCTCCCATCATGGACAGTGCATTCCACCAGCTACAGCACTCTTCAGATACTTCTTGATAAAAGGGGTCAAATGGTCAATATCCACTAAGTTACTGATAATAATACTGTGAAGCACTTAATTGTAAGCATTGCTAATAAATATGTACTAGACAATTTTGGTTATTATGAAAAAGGTGATACAGTCAAATACCGAAAATCCGCCGACCTGAAATCCGCGTTGCCTCTCAAAATATAAACATTCAGTGTATAGGTTCTGGAAACCGCAACATGGAGTACGAAATATCAAAGAAAAAATACTGAATAATGACGTCATAATTACAGAATAATAATGAGTCATAACGGAAATACCAAATTATTGACATCATGATAAAAGCTTTTTCCCCTCTAATCTGCATCGAGGTAAGAAAGCAGACGATTCACTCAACTAGTCTTTCAAGTTCACGATTCATGTTGTATTTTCTGAACTTTATTATTTCACGAGATTATTTAGTGCTGCCTTTTTTTATCCGGTTATTTTGTGGATAAATTAAGAATATTTTAAATTTCAGCCCTTTTAAATACTATTACAGATAACAAAAGCACTCATTATGTTACTGCTTGCAGCACTGAAAAACGTAAACATGTTGCACTGACGGTAATGCAAAAAGTTTGAATTCTGCAAAACATGGAGACAGGTGCATTTTATAGCAGAATCGTATGGAATTGTGATACGATTGTGTATGATATACGGAAAAATAAAGAAAAGCTGTTGAAATTTTACAGCAACAGTGATTCTATCACTGGAATCCAAATGAGGCGAAATCGGCAAGCCTCGATCTTTTGCAAGAGGTTCTGGCAGCAGCGGAGTAATCGGGTACCTATTTCAGGACTCAATGCCTGTGTATATATAATACAATGATGCTGATAATATAAGGGGTCAATTTATATAACAATGTAGTATAATAAGTTTCATATAGCATAATAATAATTTATTGCAATAGTTATGTATAATGTATATAATAATTTAATTAAATGTATCTAATATGCCTTATTTATTTTGCACTTTTAGTCTGAATATTATGATTTGTCTTTTCTGTCCTGAAATCTGCAAAATCCTAAAATCCGCACAACCTTTGGTCCCAAGCTTTGGGGATTTCTGGACTTCTACTGTATTCAGCTGGCTGTTAAAATTTCAAAATTTTCAATTACAATTATTACAAGCATTATTTCATCATAATGGTATTAATAAAACATATGAATTAAGGAAATACGAAAGTTAGTGCATAAGCATACTAAGCATTTGAGAGTAAGATTTGTACTTAATTTATTATATGCACTGATTCACA